AAACTAGTTTTGATTTTTGACTATTGACTTTTGATTTAGTTTTGACATATAACTTTTAATTTTAGTTTTGACTTTCATCTCTTCAAAATAGTTTTGACGACCAACACTAACTGCTACTAATAATAATAAAATCGTCTTTCTTTTCATTTTCATTTTCAACCTAAGGCCTCAATTTTATCTAATAAAGTTTTTTAATGGATTTTTTCAATGTCTATAGAAACTCGCTAGTGTTGCCAGACTAAGTCCAATTTCTTCAGATAAGAGATTATACATTTTTGTGAGAAATTGTTTCTCTTTTTTTTTTCTCCTTTCATTAAATAAGCAGTAAATTCAGTATAAAGTGTTTCGGTTTCTACAGAGTATTCAGTTTGATTTGTTTGTGCAATTTCAGCTAACATCTATAATGTAAATATTGCATTTTTTTTTTTTAATCAAAACAAAATTGTATTTAATGGTGATTATTAGAAGGATTTTGTGAGAGTTTTCTTTATTAAATCACTTGGTATATTTTCAGAAGTTTGATTTATTTCTCATGATTATTTCTCACTTGGAAATTATTCCAATGTAGTTTGCTAGAGAAAATAATTAATTTATTGATCTTTTGGACATAATTATAATGTTAATAAGAATTTAATGTTCTCCAACATCATCTAATGTCCATTAATTAATGATTAACATAAATAAATGCGTAACTCTCTATTGTGAACATAAACCATTAATTTAATTAACATGTCTTGTAATATTCGATTTATAATGAAATGAAAATAATAAAAATAAAAACAAATGAATATAGTTCTTCTATATATCACTTAAGGTACTGTTAAATTATAATTACAATGCAATTGTGATAATAATGACTAAATTTTGATCCCTGAAATTCTTGGTAATACCAATGTTCACTTTTTCTGGTTTTGTTGCAGTATGCTCCAAATGTTAGCGGGCCAATTTTTAAAACAATTTTAAGTAAGTTTATTATAAATTGTGTATTTTTTAATTAAACACATAATTTTAATATTAATTTATTTATGTGATTTTTAAAAGGTATTTATATACTTGTAATATTGGTTTAAGTAATCATGCTGGAATCAATATATTGGAATTGTTAAATGTAGCTGAAGAGTTTCATCTAAAGTCATTTTACGAATATATAAAAGATCACTTTATTAAAAATATTGATGAATACATAGGAAAAAATCCAATTAAAATATTACAATTAATATATAGTAATGAGAAGCTTGGTGAATTGAAAAATAAATGTTTAGAAAAAGTTAGCAATAGAGGTGATGAATTGTTTGAGTCAGGTATATTTAATACATTGGAAAAACAAATCATATTGGCAGTTCTTGAAAGAGATGGTCTATGTGTCAATGAAATAGTTGTATGGAGAAAAATTCTTGAGTGGGGGATTAACAAAGCATCCAGAAATTATTGACAACAATGTCATCACAAATTTTGTTGATTTAGAAAAAACAATTAGAGAATTTCTTCCTTTAATTAGATTCCAGGACATCACTAATAAAGATTTTAGTTATGAAATTTTCCCATATCAAAAGCTTTTTCCTGAAGCTTTCTGGAATAATATCTTACTTTATTATATATTTCCTGGAGATCAATCAAATTTACGTTTACTACCATCAAGAAATCAAATATTTAAATTATTTGCAAGTTGGATTGATGTTAAATATAAATTTAAACCTTTATATTGAAGTAGTAATGATGGTTAAATGCAAATATATTTCATCAAAAATGTGATAATATCGGCAATACTCTTGTGGTAGCTACAATAAATGATTCTGATCAAATTGTTGAAGGTTATAATCCATTTGATTGGAGTGGAGATGATTATAAAAGTACAAAGGAAAGCTTTATTTTTAACATTAGCAATAGAAATGACATTAGTACTGCAAAATATAGTAATCCTAATACTAATTCAAATAGCTATTCTAATAATAATGCAATTTATTGTAATCCTTATTATTTGCCTACTTTTGGCTGTGGTTATGATATTCATTTTAATCCTAATACTAATCCAAATAGCTATTCTAATAATAATGCAATCTATTGTACTCCTTCTTATGATATTCACTTTAATATAAATGGTGATATTTGTAGTTCGCCAAGTTCTTATAGCATCGATGTAGTAAATGGCAGTAAATTTGATGTACTACAAGTTTTCCAAATAATTAATAAAGACTAAAACAAATTATTGCTTATTATTATTATTATTAAAACATATAAAAAAAGAAAAAGTTGACATGTTATGGTGCCTTACTAATTGTCATAATTTCTGTGTAGATTTGTTATATTTTGCGTAATATTTCTCCTTTTTTTTTTTTATGTTTCCCTAATCTAACAACTTTACCCAATTTTGAAAGAGGATTCGTTTCATTCATTCATATTTAGTTCAGTTCAGTTACAGTATGAAACAAAATGAATCTATATGTCCTGTTTCTCATCTTTGGTAAACTGAATTTTTGGGGAAGGATGAGATCAAAATCAAATGGTAAAACTTTGTGATGTGCTGACTTGAAATGATTTGCAAATTGATTTTGAAATTTGTTAATTAATAAAATTGAAATTTGAACAGAAATATTTTCGTTTTCCAAAAAAATGATAAATGGTTGTGGTTATTTTACGTCATTGTACTGTGAATCCCAATTGTTATCTGCTTGTCATGATTGTGAAACTGAAAAACTTATCTGTTTTGGTTCAAAATGCCAGGGTTGAGCGAAACAGATATTTGACTGAAAGGAAATTGTGTTTCGCTTTATATGTTTTTTGCGTGGTGTCGATTGCCGTCTACTGTTAGGTCTTCGACTTGCTCCGACGTTTCAGACCGTTTAAAATGACCAAAAACTGATGATCTTGTCTTGAAACATTTGCAAGTAGCTTTTCAATGGAGAAATTTTTTCTCCTTGAATTATGTGAGTATTCCAACCAAACCACTTATTTTTGCCAGGATTTTTTTTTTTGTAGTAATATTTGCTGAATCAGAGTCGGGCTCAATTAAATGATGTTTCGATCAAAAACAAAAGGAACAAATAACAATGTTACTGTGTGAGAATTTTTTTATTTTTTATTTTTTATTTTTTATTACTTATTTTTATACTTATTAATACTAGTTTTACAGTATTTGTAATAGTTAGTTACACGATCCCAGAGGCTTGTGACTTGAAACAATTCAAGTCCAATTGAAATTAATAAAAAGCCAGTTTCATTCTTTAATGCTAATGATTGAATCAAGCAAAAATCAAATTTTTTAATTTCGTTATTCGCAATTTATTCTGTGACCAATCAGATAATCGGATTAGTTTCGCCATTTCGGATCTATTTCGCCATTAAATATTAACTATAATTTTCTAAATTTGATTGATCTGCGAATTTCTTAAAAAATGACAAATGATAAACAAGTTGAATCAACTCAAAAAAAAACATATGGTAAAAGAAAATTCGTTGAATGGAGTGAAGAAGAAGATTTGAAGTTGACTGGATGCTTTGAAAAGTATAAACTTTTAATTCTTAACTCTTCAAATATTACTTTATTATAATATTCTTTTATAACCTTTTTCTCTTTTAAAAAGATATGGCAGTGACTGGAGAAAGATAAAAGATGAACTTGGTTGTAATAGAAGCCTTGAACAAATTAGAAAACGTGCTCGCCATTTAAATTTAAATAAACCAAAAAGAGCAAGAAAAACAGTAAATAATAATACTTCTAGTAATAAAACACCTAATAAAAAAACAAAAACAAAAGCCACAACACCTAATACTACTACACCAACTAAAGCTAGATCACGATTAATTCCAATTTTACCAGCTGGTTCTGCACCACCACCACCACCACCACTATTACCATTGTCAATTCCTAATAATCGTCAGTTTTCTTCAACTTCACATTCATCTTCAAATATTAATTTACTATCTGATGGACTTGATGATAACACTACAAGTAAGTAATTTATGGATTTTGATTTTTTTGGTATTTGATGTAATGATAATATTATTATTATATTCATCATTATGATTAATTAGTGCCTGAAAATCAATCAACAAATTCTGAAATTAAACTGAAAAATTTTAATATTGGTATATTTAACTTTTTAATTACTGATTAATTTGATTAATTCATTAATATTAAACTAATTATTTTCAAAAAATTTGAGTTGTTTTTAGAAACTCTTGAAAAAAATGTTTTATTATTAAACCGTGTAGAAATTACAGCAAAAAATGATCCAGAGTTGAATAAAATTATTGTTGTAAGAATTTTTTAATGCATTACATAATATTATGTTTATTTATTATTTATAATTAATTATATTTTTTTTCTTCTAGGCCTTTGATTTATCTCCAGGTAAAATAAAAATAACAATGTTATATTTTTATAATAGTAATAATAAAATTAATAATTAATATTATTTATTTATACTATTAGATGAAGCTAATAAAATAGGACCAGATTATCGTTCTGTTTATACTTATTTATCATGGTCATTGAAATATAATAGTAGGGATTTGATTGATGAAAGGATGGACATTGGCGAGAAACCCGAATTAACTAGTAAAGGTTTAATTATTTAATCTCAATAAATTTATTTATCCATTTGCTACTTAAAGGGCATTTACTAATGCTTTTTTTTTGTTTTTTTACTCATAATAAAGGCAAGGTTATACTAAAGAGTTTTATCGATCATTTAATAAACAATACAAATGAATTGTTTACACAAAGACAAAGAAAATTTATTATGCAGAAATTATACTTGCTTAAACAAGCACTTACACCAGGTGGAAACGAAAAAATCACTATAGGATCATCAACTCCAAGTAATCCATTATCAATACCATCTGATTTACTTAAATCCGTTACCACCTCCCTGAACAACAACAACAACAACAACAACAACAACAACGACGACAATAACAACAACAACAATAATAACAATTAAAGATGAGAGAGCAAGGGGTATGATTTTTTTCCTGTGACATGAGGTAAAATATTTTTGTGCTCAAACCTAATTTTGCATCTTGTTTTGCAAAAGTGTAAGATTTTACAATAAACGTTTATTATCTTATAACACATAAAAATATAATAGGCATAAAAATAAAAAGGTGAATAAATAAACTTAAAAAAAGTAAGGGTTAATTAATTTGAATTAAAATGCATCATAGTTAAATATCTTGAGACAGATTTTGCCGATTAGTATCAAGATGGTAAAAAGAAAAACCTCTTTCAACTGTACAACTGGAAATTGGTAACCAAATATAATCTAGACAAAATTGATTTTATCTAGCCATCGTATTTGAGAATGTTGTATGCGAAATTGAAACTGTGAAATTTTGGAATATGAAATCCTGATTGGTAATTTGAATTTCGAATGGTCAAATTTCATTTTCACGGATAAATGTAAACAAACTGTGGCGGTGAAAGATCACTACTTTATTAACTGACATAAAAAATAAAATAATTATTAGGTTTATAAATATTAGACACCCACATTATTGTAAAATTGCTTATCGAACAAAGAATTGAATGTTTTTTCTATTTCAATGAAATTTTAAAGAGCGTAAATTGGTAAAGGATTCCCTCGGAAGGCATCATGAAAATTAAAGATATAGGAGAATTGGTTGATGAGTATCCAGTTTGTTGGAATAAAAAAGAAATGATGGGTAATAGATAAAATTTTTATTTTAAAATTGACAAATATCAGATATTTCATGAAAATTTACAATTGTTATTTTAGCTTTGATTCATATAAAAGTGTTCATTTGAACCAATTTACAACTTTTTGGCATAACCCATACCAAATCCATATTTTTGTTTGGGACCTTGCAATTACACAATGTCGGTAATTCCTGAAATGATGATAGTGGTTCCGATACAGTTCACTCTCTTTATAACGAACCCTCTGTCCCTATATGTAATTTCTCTGCTTTTGGTCGTTATAGAGAGAGTTTATTAAGATGGTCGTTGTAGAGAGAGGAATTAATTATAAAAAATTGAAACGGAGACAAAAGGGAAGTTCGTTATAGAGAAATTTTACTTAGTGGTCGTTATAGAGAGAGCAGACTGTATATATTTCTAATTTGGTATGATCTTTCTTGTTAATTAAGATTATTGTGTAACTGTAACAACAAAAAATTTTTTTTATTTATTATATACAAACAAAATGTCAACTTACTTTTCATCATTGGAAAATTTAAACTTATTATTTAACAACCTTATCAATTCCAACGACAATGCCCTTCCATTAAAATATGTTGGGAAACTTGTAAAAGATTTAACAAAGTTATTGAATGAGTCTGATTTTTGTGATGTAGAAATTAGTGTTGGAGTAGATGAGGATGTTAAGATTTTTAAAGCTCATTCTAGTATTTTAAAAGCAAGGTCTCCATATTTTGAAGCTGCTTTATCAAGCAATTGGATAAAACAATCTGATGATGGTATTATGTTATTTAAAAAAAAAAACATTTCTCCAAATATATTTGAGGTTCTTTTAACGTAAGATTATTCAATTTTTATTAATAATTAAATGATTATAATATATAACTTAAATTACTTTATTTTATTTTATAGATATATTTATAATGGAACTCTTAATATAGATAATCTGGATGGAAATGAAATTTTTGAACTTCTTGAAGCATGTGATGAATTAAACTTTAATGAATTAATTAATGATTTACAAGACTATTTGATTAACAAAGAAAAAAAATGGATTCAACTGAATTTAATTTATGCCCATAAAATTTCATCACGTCATCAATCATTCAAATTGCTTCAAGATTATTGTTGTGAGATAATTAGTAAAAATTCAGAATTATTTTTTAAATCTAATGACATTATAACAATTGAAAAATTCATGCTTATAACTATGTTAGAAAGAGATGACTTGGAATTAAGTGAAATTGATATTTGGGATATTGTCATTCAATGGGGAAAAAATCAAAATGAAAAATTAGACAAAGACATTTCAGAGTGGAAGAAAGAGGATTTCATTGTGTTAAAAAATATAATAGAAGATTTTATTCCTTTAATAAGATTCAATCAAATCTCTTCAAATGATTTTTCTGATAAAATTCTACCATTTAAAAAAGTTTTTGATAAAAAAGTATATGAGGAAATTTTTCTATACTATATTAGTGATAAATGGAAACCAAAACTATTACTTCAAAAAGGCCCAAGATCAAAAACAATAACAAAAACAGGAAAATTATTAAATTTACAAATGAAATCTCTAATTTCAAGTTGGATTGATTATAAAAATGGTTTATATAATGAAAACAATATACCTTATAAATTTGAATTAATTTTTCAGGGCACTCAAGATGGATTTTCTAGAACTGCATTTGAGAATAAATGTTATAATATTGAACAAACTGTAGCCATTATGAAAATTAAAGATACTGGAGAGTTGGTTGGTGGTTATAATCCAGTTGGTTGGAATATAAAAGATGGGTATTGGATTAAAACTGATAAAAGTTTTATTTTCAAAATTGACGAAAATCAGATAAATGATTCGATATTAAGTAGAGTTATAGATCCAGAACGTGCAATATATGATAATAAACAAAAGATTAGTGTAACTCTAGATAATATAGAATTTCATGAAAAAACTATAAATTTTCGGAATTTACAATTATGTAATAGTATTAATCATGAACCTTATTGTTATTATTATATTAATTTCTTGGATTCTTATGAAAATAATTTAAATCTCAGGAATAAAAGTAGAAAAATTCATTTGATAGAAGAATGTGAGGTCTATAGAATGGTAAAAACAAATTAGTTTATTTAATTGTACATATTATTATTATTATTAAATTTATAAAATAAATTCATGCTTCTACATGTAAGACTCTGAACAAGTCTATAGAATAGTAAAAACAAATTGATTTATTTAATTGTACATATATTATTATTATTAAATTTATTAAATTCATGCTTCTACATGTAAGTCTCTGGGCAAATCAATGTGGTTGAATCGATTTGAATCACCAATTTTTGATTTGTTTTATTTGGATCATGATTCGAATTGATTTTGAACATATAAATAGTTTAATTTGACATGGTTCAAATCTAATTCAAATATATACCATATGAAATAATTTGAATTTTAAAAGAGCTGCCTTTGGAAATAAATGGTTTTGAAAGCCAAAAAAATATTTACCTCATGCAATAATTGCATTTGGCTTTTCCATCTACAACTGTGAAATGGTTCCACACTTCACTTCTTGTCCTTCTTTGGACACATTGCACTGTGTCTGTTTAAGAAGTAATTGAAGAGACACAATACAATTATCATCATCATTGTTATATTTATTATTTAAATTTAAAACAATGATGTGCAATTGTAAATTATATTACTTTTTTTGTTATTAATATTAATATGTAAGATTCTATTTGCAACATTTCTTAATTGCAAATATGTAATGTGGCACAGTAATACGAATTTATTTCGCGTAACGCGTTAAATTAAAACGAAACGTTACTATGCAACTTTACTAATTATTATATTATTGTTATATTACTTATATTATTATTTATATTACTTATATTATTAATTATATTACTTATATGGGGCATGAACAGCAAAAAAAGCCGAATTTTGGTTCCTGGTAATTTTTGGGATAATAATTCAATAATATATAAATTGAGGCGAACAATCTTTTTGGCTTAGAAGTATACCCACACTTGCATAATAAAATCATGACATATTCAAGAAAATTGTTTTATATGACATATTAAATCTTAGGAAGATCTGCAATTTTGTACCCCTTTTTCTCAAAAACATGTTTTATAAAAATTCGGCCTTTTTTGCAGTCCACGCCCCATATTACTTATATTATTATTACTTATATTATTATTTATATTATTTTCTTTATGTATATGAGTTACAAATTAAGTGCTGCAGCTTTTGGTAAGTTCTAAAATATTATTATTATGATTGATAATAATTTATTTATTTAATTGTAATATTATATTATGCATTTTTGTATAAAAAGATAAGCTTTCTGTAATTAATAAAGATAACTTGTATTTTTAATAATAATTAAAACAATTAGTATTTTGATGTAAGGAAAAAGGGTTTCCTTACACTATTCCTAGTACAAGTTCTTATTTGAATTATTTGTTTCATTTGTTTCATTCATTTATTTGAATTATTCATTTATTCAAATTACTTGCTTTATTCAAATTACTTGTTTTATTCATTTATTTGGATTTGTTTTATTTGAGTAGAAGTTTTGAGCAGGCTCAAGTTAAATTTGAATTTTTCAAGTTAAAGAAAATAAGCTCTTAAATAGTTTTTTTAGGTAATATGCATGAATAAAATATGGAATAATATTTTTTACCTAAAAAAATTTTATACAACATCAAACTCAAGCCTTACTGATGACATTACAACAGTTGAAAAATCCATGCTTATAACTATATCAGAAAAATAAACCTTATGTAAACCTATGTAGGGTTCAAAATTTACCAGCATTATGTGGAATTGTTACCAGAATTACCAAAATATCAACATAATGCTGGCCAATTTTGAACCCTACATAGGTTTACATAAGAATTATTTTCCTGATGCTATGTTAGAAAGGGATGACTTGGAATTAGATGAAATTGATATGTGGATATTGTCATTCAATGGGAAAAAATCAAAATGAAAAATCTGATAAAGACATTTCAGAGTGGAAGAAAGTGGATTACATTGTGTTAAAAAATATAATATATAGAGGATATTATCCCTTTAATAAATCTCTTTAAATGATTTAAAAAAGCCTTTGATAAAAAAAGTATGCAAGGAAATTTTTCTATATTATATTAGCAATAAAAAGAAACCATCATTTCATACCAGATCATCCCATCATTTTCACAAATCAACCTTGTCTTGTGTTATATATATACGCACAAAATTTTTACTTCAATGAAATCTCTAATTTCAAATTGAATTAATTACAAAACTGGTCCATATAATGAAAACAATACACTTTATAAATTTGAATTAATTTTCAGGATATTCAAGGTGGATTCCAAAGATCTGTATTTGAGGATAAATGTTATAATATTGACAAATTGTGACCTGAAAAATATGATACAGGAGAAATGGTTGGTGGCTATAACCAGTTGGTTGGAATGAAAAAGAAAAGCCTTCAAATGATGGGTATTGTATTAAAATAGATGGAAATCAAAGATAAATAATTCAATATAAGTATAGTTACAGGATTTGCAATAGTTCATAATTAAAAAAAGATTAGTGAGACTATAGATAATATGTGACATATTGCAACAGGACCTGGACTGTTATAATTGAGGAAACATATGATTTTGATAAAGTTTTTTGCTAAAGTTATGTGATTCATTCAAAAATGCAATAAAATTTTTTAAAAAAGAGCTTCAGATGATTTTGGTTAAAAAATTATTTTCCTCACTGCCAAATTTAAAATGATGGTTGAGTATTAGACTAAATTTATAATGATGATCAAAACCTAAT